GCACGACGGCTCATGCACTACCGGAATACCGTTTTACGTCAATACACGCATATATCGTTCTGGACATCGCGCCTATTGGCTTCTCCAATACATGACTGATTTAATCAAACTGACTCGGTGGTCCAGACGACGATCGGTTAATCCATGTAAGATTTTTCTTTGCATTTTCACGGGCTCTTTCCAGCTCTAGCTCGTCGAACCTCCCTTCCCTGATTGAGTTGGCGATATCATCCAAGCTCTGGATGTGCCAACCAGCACGAGCAACTGCAACTATTGCCGGTTGCCCAATTGCCTTGAAGTTGCTCCAGAGAAGACGGTCCCTAAACCTGCCACGAAGGCAAGTAACCACGAGGTCGTCGGGGCCTCTCTCCACGCCAATAAAGTCTATAGTCTAATCCTTTGTTAGATAAAAAGTATGCAATATACGTAAGTGCCTGACCGTATGGCTTTGAAACCTGGACCCAACCAGCCACCGTCTCATACCCTTCGGAACAATGCTAGTAAGGCAATACATGGTAATTCAAGGAGAGCAGGAACGGACAACGAAATTTGAAACAGTGGATTTGTAGAATTACTAGACTTTGAGGTCAGTATCATGCCCATTGCAGATGCTATGACCATGATTATATTTATAACTGTTACTTGGGAAGCTCCCATCCCCCTCCCTGCTCCAACAATGACCGTATTTCGATATCATTCCTCTTATGGGTCTATGTCATAGAACGCGACTGAAGACACCATATTTAATTTACCCCGCTTTGTGATGCATATTATCATTTGCACGGTACTATCTCGTCTTGAGGTCCTGTGTTAGCACGTACTGGATCATGAAGTCTAAGAGGTTCATTATAACTTAGGTGAAACTTAAAAGTTTCCTAAGTAAGGTTAAATTATTTGTAATATACATTCGGAACGAAGCAGCACATCGCCCGAGCATCTCTGACTCATCTTCTAGATTACGTAACTAATTAGCGTCGTCGGTCAGCCTGCTCATATTGCTGCCCAAAGAGTTTCTGGTCTAGTAAGGGAACAAGGTACCTGATGACATATTTCATATTCTGAAGAATGTGCTCATCGGTAGATCCAGGTTAACTAACTGATAGTACACATCAAGCCACATCACATGACAGCTGAATGATGCCCCGCTCTTCTCCCGGAACCCCACGTTGAAGCATCATAATTTATCATCAGGCTTCAGGCTGGCAGAAGCCAGTGGCGGTGAACGACAGACAGGTATAAGCCATTGTGAAAAAGAGATTACATGGTACGCTCCCAGATAGTCTACAATGCTGTTGTCAACGATCCAGTTTTCACGTTTTGGCTACGGCGAATGGTTGAATCCCAATTCAGCGGACTCACCCCTAACACCAGTCGAAAAGAATTTCCTGACCATTGAACTGACGGATCCTATGTCACAGTGAACATAGTTTCACGAGCTATGCAATCAAATTATGTGCCAATATCGCAAGACGTCGCAAATGATGAAGCCAGGTTGATAGCGGAAGCTGTGAAAAATGTCAGTAAACACAACGACACAGATGACTTGAGAAGCGGAGTCTGATGAAATTTCCTAGTTCGGAGGTGATTTCGAGTCGAAGGTGAATATTGAAGAAAGCTGGACTACCTACACGGTCAAACTTTTCGAGAGTTCATCCATACAGCGGTTGATCGTATTTCGGCCTCCTTCGTCGTCCAGGTTCTTCAACTGTATAAGGGTTAGGAACCCACAAGGCGCTGTTGAATGGGAGGTACTTCGGAAAAGCGACACATACATGGGACTAGTACCTACCGACTGTCAGTTTGAAGCGATGCTGGTCGAACTGAAGTTGTTTACGAGGAAAAAGGATTTGAGTTAAATATCACTGGCAAAGAGAATTGGTGGCCGAATCGGATAGCATCGTCACGCGGTATAGAGATAACAACAGTCGCAACACGGTCTTCAATGGGAATCGTAAGGATAATGCTATGACGGTTTGCGGACAACGAATGGAGTTCTAGAAGTCTGTCCATTTTGGAACCTGGAACAAGGAATGCCATTTCAATGACTTCTTGTGCCGCTTCTGCTTCGGTATGAGAATAAATTTAGAAGAAGATCCTCAAGCTACTAACCGTTCACACCAGTAACGTGAGATTTTTGCTCTGCACGCGGGGTTATGTGGTCGCTTCCTACTTCATTATATAGATCTACCGTCTTTTAGTCTTCTTTACTCAGAACCTTGGTGGCGTACTCACTGGCCAAGAACGCTTCAAATTCGGTTGAATTCTGGAGTGGCTGCTCAGCTGCCAGCGCCGTTAAGATCTCGTATAAACTGGCAGGGTATCGCAGTTCTTTTTCATCTTTTTCAGGAGTCAGAAACTCGATAACGTAATCGAATAGGCTTTTAGACATGATGTTCGAATCCCAAGCACTGGGAGGAAAGGCTGCTGCCCAGATAATTGCTGCACTCGGAGGAAGCCTGCGAATCATTTCACAACGTTCACGAGTTAACTTCTTCCTTTTTTGGACAGGCGGCGAGTCAAGTTTTGACCCTTCTGGAGGATTGAAGAATAACTGCATGTTCCGTATAAAGATGACGCGATTTTTCAACTCATTTGTCCTCATCATGTCTGATTTAACGTTTTCTGCCTGAGACAAAAGTTTTTGTCCTTCTGCGACAATTGCATCCTTCCGCCGTCTTCCCAGTGACTTGACCTCCTCCGTAACAGTCGCTACAGTCTTGTTAAGGTCCATGCTTGCAGCCTCCAAGGACTTGTACTCTTCGTGACCAAGTTGCACCCTCCCATACTTTAGAGCTCTAACAATAGTGGCTGCTTGACTGCTGAGTTCCCGCAAGTGAGTCATGATCACGGTCGGATCGCATGATGCCGAGGTCTTGGCGTCCATATTGCGCGCTATGCTGGGAGAAATGTAAATTCTAGGTCCGTAAGAGTTTTTGTTTTTATTGTGTCCAAGCGAGCAGCCTATAAGAATACAGAGTACCTAAATAGAGTCCGAAGTTATGTACTTCCGTCAATTCACCTAACTCTGAACCCCGCCTGCCTGGGTGACGTGTTGCTAATATCCGGACCGAAACATCCAAGAAGAAGCCTTACCACATCTGGAAGGAGACCACACTAATCCACATTCTCTTCCCTTTATAGGCCAGTTTGCTAGGCGTCCGGACTTAGGCGAGATTTCAAAACAACATGATAATGTATAAACGGACCCAACACCTAAGCAAAGCCACGTCAGCCCACAAGGGTTTTTTGTACTTACATGTTATGTGTACTTTATTAGAAGGGAGATGATCGGCAAGCCCGTTCTAGCCTCCGCTTCTCTTAGACCAGTAGATATGGATGTCTATCACAGGGTGTCCTGCAGCTACCCAATGAAAGCCTAATATAGCATGCCAGAGAGTGTAAGACCTAATGAGGTTTAGCGAGAATTTATTTACTAACATGGTTTAGTGCCCATTAGCGCTTTCCTGCAGCCCTCATGTTTAGTGGGATCCACAATATTACTATCCAATAGCCAGGTGTAAAAGAGATACTGGGGAAAGCTGTTGCCTACAGCCTTGTCGCCGCTTCCGTGCCCATCTCTGGCTTGTGCAGAGAAATGTAGCGGTCCGAAGTGCAAGGCCACACCAGTCAAATCTTAGTCAAATATTCGTCAAAAACTTGTCGAAATATTACCAAAATTCGGTCCATAGATGTACTCTTCTTCGTGCTACTGTTCGGGAACCCGTATTCCAAGTGCTGGTGATAAGGTGTGCTAGTAGGACGACACATTTACAGCGCGCGTTAAGCTACATGAAGACGACTTCTTCGACCTATCATCAATCGCAGTCCCAAAGAGCTAGTCTTCCTAGGGCAAGAGCTTATAGCACACAGGCCACATACAAGATGGCTCGTCAACAATCTCCCGCATATTGCTGTGATTGAACTTGCATGACCAAAACGCCCTCATACTGGCAATCACGTTGCATTGACAAAAGTCTATCATAGCTTGCTCTCACGGCTAAATTTCTGCTCACATAGGCTTTTGTCACAACACTGTCACGTCAAATGAGTGTCTAGCTGGCTTCATAGGGACATGATTTGTGATGACAAGGTCATAGCCCCCAATTGGATCCCAAGGGTTAGAGTACAACAAAAGTACGGCATTCCGCGTACCAGTCATTTCGAGACGATTGTTTCAAATTCATTGTTAATTTTATGGTTCTTTTACCGTCTATTGTACACTATGGGAGTTTTTCTAATATAAATAGGGGTTATCACAGCTAAATCAAGTTCTCATTCTGAGTTCCTCACATAACGAGATCATCCCCTTATCGTATCCACCGACGATCGTCGTGCGCGCTCAGTAAGTTACTCGATATGACATGATCTTCTGTACACTTACCTAATCTCAGTCCAGATATGGCGAAATTCTCAGCTAAGGTGGTCAAAGAATTCGCGCAAGGTATCCCATGGAGCAAAGTCATCAAAAAAGCCGCAAATGTCGATCGAGGACAACGCGTCTTCCCCAGCCGGACTCCCAAAAACGACGCGAAATCCAATTTGCGATTCGACAAAGGCTCGGTGGTTGATGGGAAACATGAATTGATCCTCCAAGCCAACAAGAATGCTGAAAATGCGGGTGTGAAAGCTGCAACTGCTGAGGACAGCTATAAGATCTGGGCCAAAATCCTCATTGATCCCGAAAATCTGGATGAGAACCAGGCTGCGGAGGATCTTTCTTATATTCTTCAAGGAAACGGACTGAAACAGTTAAATGTTAGTATAGCTTTATCACTTTTGACTACTTGCCACCGTCGCTGTCCTGTCAATGAACTAGTCACTCAGCTCGACTCAAAACGTACCTTGCAAAAGTGGAAAGGAGGGATTCTGGGATAGCTATATGTATATGAATACAATTTGAAGTCCATTAGCTCTCCATGGCATAGTCTGATTGGGAATGTGCATGATTTGCTATGCCCTGCTTTTTAAACAGTCAGAGCTTCTGCGTATTACGGTAGTATAGTTGTAATTTTCTTTCCTTGTATGAAATTCTCTCAGTTATGTCTTTGCGCCATGAAAATCCTAGTTTAAGACGACGGGAGTTACAGGATACGGGTAACTTTTCTCCGAAATAGGGAACTGTTTGGGTGCATAGACTGCAATTCTCCAATCATTGAAAGTCTGTTTTGTGTGGCAGCCCTCCGAAGGCGTCCACCTAAAGTCAACTGTCGGAACCACGCAAGCGAAAGCCGCAAATATTGGATGGCCAGCCATCTAAGTGGGTTCGAGGTCCTATGTCCGGCTCAAAGATACGTCGTATTGAAAGAGGTGGGATGATGGCACATGACAAATAAGTGCTTAATAAGCAGTTTACAGTCGACAGAGTTAAAATTACTGTCTATCCCATCTGCAACCACGTGAGCGGTTGGAGCTCAGTGTAACACCAGCCCGACGGATTATCGTTAAAAAAACAGTTGGGAAGAAAGCGGTCGAATTAATGCTTCTTGACCCACTGCGTCTGTTTTTCGAATGCGTCTCTCTCCTTGCCTACCATAGCTTTCAGGCCAATATCTCGTAGCTCCGTAAAAAGAGAAATGGCATCATCATATAGATGATGTGGTGTCCAACCATCTCTCGATACTATATGCGCAACAGAGTCCCAAAATTCCTGAACGTCGTTCCACCCGTCACTTTCTTCTGCATGAATACGAAGATCATCCTCTGTAAAATTGATAGGGCATGGAAAATCAAATCCTAACTCGTTCCAGCTCCTGAAGCATTGTTAGTAATATGGTATACAAGACAAACAGAGAAGTACTTACCTCTCAACCCTTATCAATGATTCTCGCAAGGGTATGATTTCATCATCCCACGTGTCACCCACAAATAAGATTGGCTCGCACCGTATCCTGCCGTGGTCAAACCGAAGGACTCTATCAAGGAGGGGTATGTCTTGAGCAATCTGCTTTTCGTAGAGGTAAAGTAGTATCGAGCTACTCATAAGGCCTCTAATTCGAGTCTTTTCTGCTGGTTCAAGATCTTTAAAGTTTGCCGGGGCTTTCAAAATAACTTCCCCATTATAATCAACTAGTCGTGCATGGCGTGCTTGAAGTATCAATGGTGCTGCCCACAGACCCTGCCAGTCTATAACACTGGAAATTTTTCCCTTTTGGACGAAGATGTTTCCAGCATGTAGATCTGTATGCCAAATGTATGGTGCAACTACCGCAGGAGCGTTTGGGAGAAGATAAGGTGCCACTTTAAGATACTTGTGTAGTAAATCAATATGGCTGTTTGGAGAGTTCTGCGAGGCTGAGGTCACTAGCGGGTCGTCTTTGGGTCTTGGGGTTGCATATTTCTGGATCCATGCCTCTTCTCGATGGGCCAGAGAGAGCACGTAATCCTGCGGTTGTTTCCCTTCAATTGGTCAGTCAAGACAACAAGGAGATGGGTAGATAACAAACACGGTCCACGATCCAAAGCCATCTCTGCACGTTCTTTTAACCAATAATGTCTTTCTGCGACTGGGCCAATGACAAATCGGCGATTTATCTTGTCCTTGAGCTCAGGGGATACATCTGCACATATGTCAACTGGCGTAGCACCCCTGATATTAGTGTTCGCAAAGTATAAACTTCCATAACTAGTCATCATTAGCAATATAATAGACCAAGTTGGCTTCGAAGATATTACTTATTCAGTGGCACCTGGAGCATTTTCTTCTCTAGTTGGACAAGATCCTTCATGATCTCTATCTTCTCTTCAAGAGAGATAACGTCCCATATGTCGTCCAGTTTGGTACCGGCGGCTTCTTCCATTATGATATACTCAGAACCGACAGCATTATTCACATCGGCATTCCAAGCATATACTCGAGGTGTTGGTACTCCGAGGATTGTACGGGCCTGGATCTGTCAGTGATATTATACCTGATACATCATGTTCAATCCTTACAAATTCCATCGTTGCAACCTCAGACGCCGTAGTATAGTGTCTAGGCCCGGCAATAGGATGAGGTATTCTTGCAATCACAGATGATCCATTATCCATTTGAAGTCTGAAAGTCTTGTTGAATGATCCTTCGGCCAATTCTGTAATTGCAGTACACGTGTCTGCTCCAACACTTTGCGCTGCAATTCTCTGCAGCTCAGGCACATTGAAAGGCGAAAATCTTTCTCGAAGTTGCTGCTCCTCGTCCCATAGCCAACGACCACTGGTGTATTGGAAGAGATCCGTGTCGCGGTGTGGCATGCTTGCAGAGCTCATGACACGGAGATGTCGGCAATACCCGTTGAAAAGACAGGGAAAGGGGCTGAAAGGTAATTTTGAGTTAGAGCGTAGTGTATGTGGATGATAGATTTCTTGGGGATGAATATAGAATTTGAAGTGTGCTGTCCATCTGGTTGGCAGCTTCATATTGTCTTAATGATCCAACTCAAGCGTTGCGCAAGAAGGTCGCCCGTTCTTAAGTATTTCCGGAGCTCCTTCATTGCGTAATCACCACTTTTACTGGTCCACACTTCAGGTAGCCCCACAGTTTCCCCATGTATACCCGTAATACCCACGGAATCTCCGACAGCCTTAAAGCAGGTAATAACATGGAGAAACAGAGCTACTGAAGTTCAAAGTATACTCATATGCATATAGCTAACCCAGAATCCCTCCTTTCAAATTTTGTAAGTACGTTTTGGGTCGAGCTGAGTGACTAGTTCATTGACAGGACAGCGACGGTGGCAAGTAGTCAAAAGTGATAAAGCTATACTAACATTTAACTGTTTCAGTCCGTTTCCTTGAAGAATATAAGAAAGATCCTCCGCAGCCTGGTTCTCATCCAGATTTTCGGGATCAATGAGGATTTTGGCCCAGATCTTATAGCTGTCCTCAGCAGTTGCAGCTTTCACACCCGCATTTTCAGCATTCTTGTTGGCTTGGAGGATCAATTCATGTTTCCCATCAACCACCGAGCCTTTGTCGAATCGCAAATTGGATTTCGCGTCGTTGGAGTCCGGCTGGGGAAGACGCGTTGCTGTAGTATTTGGGTACAATACAGTGAAGTGACAACCAAATCTGGATAGCATGGACTGCTCTTCGTTGTATTTGATGGTTCCAGTCACTCTGGCAGGTCATCATCTGGGACATCTTCAAGTTCTTGCCCTGCCTCCCAAGCTTCCAGCCATTCTGCCAACCTCCTGGGGGGGCCGGGTTGATCTGAGAACATTCCATGAAAGTTCTGGATCTTATACGGAGCGCCCTTAAATCCACGTGCTGGATACCAGGTGAGATCAGGATCACATCCTTTCCACTGAACCTGATATTGTAGCTTTCCTCTAGATAATCGTGAAGCTGAGATACGTTCCACTTCCCATTCTCGCTCGTCGATGGTGTTGCATGGGACCTTAGTGGGAATATGATTCCTGGAGGAAGGCCTACCTTCCCTAGACCTTCCAACGTTTCTGGGCCCTTGGGTGGACGAAGCGTCTGCAAGACGATGCGGCTCCTCGTCAAGGGAGAACCGAAATGGCGGTGCCTCTGGTTTATTTAGGGAATTTGGCTCGAAAGAGAAGAAGTACGAGGTTCCGGACGCGCGGGTTTCGATAGTGAGGATGGCATGCCCAAAGATATCTTGGCTGCTGCAAGGCTCTGCAGACCGCGCAGATGCTGTGCCACGTAGCGGGTTCCCTGAACGTCCAGAAGATGCATGGTTGGCCACTTTCTTCGCAGGCCTAATTGCACGCTTGCGTCTCTTAGCAAGACGCGGGCTCTCTTCCGTGTCGTAGCAGTTGGGACGGCGGGCAGGTATAGCATCAAGGCCCGGTTGGCAGTCGCGGGGTCGCTGGTTTTTCGGTTCCACGATTCGTGTCTGGGCAACTTCAAAGGCCTTTCGCCGAGGCGGCTTTGTGATCGCGGATGGAAGATCTAAATTAGGGACAACTTCTGCTAATTTTCGATTGGATGCTTCCTCGGACCCCGCCGAACGAGACTGATCTGACTCTAAACAGAGTTGGTCCTCTGCGCTGGATTCAATCACCGCAGTTGAAGGCGACCGTCGATCGTTCGGAAGTAGTTCCCCGTCACTGACAGCTGGTCTTGGCACGTGCTGCTTCAACTGCTGCGGGACATCGCCCAAAACGTTCTGATTATTTTCTTGTCCCCCAATAGGCTTGTCAGTGCTCTCATCGTAAGGCACATTGCGTGATGGGGTGCTGCAAAAATTCATGTCATGATTGTCGTTCGGGGGACTCGAACAGCTCCGATTGATTACGCTAGACTCGTCAGAGGTGGAAGGCTGTAGGTCTGCAAAAAAAAATCAGATCGTTGCACAAATCAGGTGTGCGTATGGGATGCCCTTACCTAAGGAATGATCCTGCTCCTGTAGGTCCGGAGATGGAGTGCACAAATGACCATTAAGACCTGTAGGGATTTCACTCCTTTCACGCGCCGTCGTAGTTACGAAGGGGTCGGGGGCATCGGTCCTTTGTCTGGGGCTGGAGAGACACGAAGTTAGGGCTGCAGGCTGAACGTAAGTCAAATGACTTAAAGCGAAAGACCAACACCTAAAAGCACTGACTCACAGAATGTGGAGGCATCAAAAGCCTCGCTGCTGGTTTCTCCGTGCGTGCGCTGGCTGTCCATGGCGGAAAATGTCACCTGTGATGCTGCCTTCGCGAACTTGGACAACTCGACATCAAATGAATTCAGCCGCGCAAGGCTGCATGGAGAATCCCTCTCATGAGGACGGTCAACAAGTGGAATACCGTCGCCGCGAGGGAGGGTGGTGCCGACAGCCGTACCTGGGAGGAAAGAAAGGCATGGGCTTATAGGCTGGACAGAAAGAGCCGGCTCCGGCTGCAGTAATTTCGAGGGCTGCGGCCGGTAGAACTCGATATTGTCCAGATCTACCAGAGCCCTTCGTGGTGCTGGCTGGGTCATCGTGGAGGGATGGGAAGATGGACCCGGGAGAGTCTCCGAGAAAGAATTTGAAGTGGTTAAAAAAAGAAAAAAAGACAATGGCTCACACAGCTTTCTGCGTAGACATGGATAAGGCCAGCTTTATAGCATAGCAGTTCAGCATCCAACCTCCAAGATTTGAGACGGCCAGGCGGCCAGCGGAACAGCCCGGAAACTCGTAGATTGCCTCTCCGACTCCGATGCAGTCCCAATTAGCCTAGCAAATCTGAACGAGTGTTGGGCTCCTTGCCGCCAATAAGCCCGTCCAACAACACCTCAGGAAATAAAGGCCGCACGGAGCTCCCAGTTTGGGAAACCAAAGACCCACCGTCGAGGCTGTGCCGTGTGGTACCAACCAGTAGATGCTGTCGAGGCAGTGACGGTGAAGTTGGACGTGTCATCGCCGTCGGATATTGATCGGTTGTCCGTTGGAGGGGAATGATCAGCAGAAAGGAGCCCCCCTCTTGTGTGCTTCCGTCACCGTACGAGGCAAAGGCGGGATGAGCAGGGGCAGTTGAGGCATTTTTTTTTGATTGGCCTTGATAAGACGGCCTTGTCGAGGCGCATCGTGAGATCCTGGAACGGCCGCTCGAATGGCACGCTAGAGGGAATCTAGGCCTTGAGGTGGGACGGGGGCTTCTTCCCCCAAGGCCATCCTCCGCCAGCCGACCTCGGAAGTCCACAGGGAACGAAAAAGAACCGCCCAGGGCAAAGGAGACAGCGGTGGAAGTCAAGAGGGAGTGGGGGTGAAGAGTCGTCGTCGCGGTGTATACAGCCTGGTGGAATTGATTCCGCCAGATGGATGAAAGCTTCTTCTCCTCCTCCTCCACCTCTTCTATCCTTTAGGCAGCAACGTTTCTCGCCTCCAAGCCTAGAATTCCTATGCCCGACACAAATAGCGCGCGCGCTGAGCGCCGAAAGACGAGTCTACAGCTCATAACAGCGAGTCAGAGAACTGCATTCATGCCCATCAGTGGAGACGGCAGGTCGTGTGATGGTCCGAATTTTTCAGCTCCGGCTGGCAAGGCTGTGCAGTCCGGCCGAGAGGCCGGAGATGGCCGTTTCATCGGGCAGGACGGGCGAAAAGGGGCAGTGCCGTGAGGGGAAGAACGAGCAGTTGTCGTCGAGCGACGCACTCGACCCTTATATAGTCCGGACGGTCAGAAGACGGGGCGGTGGACGGCGGCAGTACCTTCTCGGGCATAGCGCGGGCCACCAAACCGCATCGGGACACGCTATACCGGACGCGGCGGGGCGGCGACGAGGGCTAAACCCGAACGGGGGCGCGGCCGGAAACGGCGGCGGCGGCCCAAATGGAAATTCTCCTGAAATAAAATTATATATTATTTCTATATAACTTCACCAGTATTTAATTATATTTATATGGATAAATCTATTAAAAAAATATAAATAAAGAATTTTTTATATTATTTCTCTTTCTTTTTCTCTTCTATCTTAGAGTTATTATTTTTTTAATATTTTATAATTACTTTATTTATTCTTTGTAGTCTTTTTATATGCTTTTCTTTATTTTCTTTTATTTTTATCTATTCTATATTACTTTTATTATTTTTTATCAGATATCAGTCTTGTTCTCAATTACTTTATAATAGCTAAGGAAAAGAGACATTCTAAATAAGATATTTTTATTAAAATCTATTATAACTTCTATATATATTATCTAAAATATATAAACCATAATTTCAATCCTACAGAGAATACTTTATATAATATCAGTTATTTACTGAATACAAAAATATCTGTTCTATATCATTTCTATTCCAAAAAGAATAAGATTTATAATCTAATAGATTTTATATATTTTATATTATATATATATATAATTTACTGATATTTCTCAAGTCTGTAACTGGCCTATTAGAAAATATTTATAATTTTATTAAAATCATTGAATGGGCCACTCTTATTCTAGATAAAAAATATTAAGATAATAATATTAAGCAGACTATTTATAAAAAAGTCTATATTCTTATAAAGATATTTAATAGTATAAAGAATACTTATACTTATGAATTCTTATTAAAAAATACTAAAACTGCTAAGTATATAAGTTCTTATTATAATTAAAAGATAAGATTTTCATAATTCTATTATTAATATTTTATTAAAAGTTTATTACTGAATATTTTAAATTTATTAAAATTTATTATACTTTTTTAGCTCAGTCAGTTCCTCATCCTGGTCTTTATATTTTATTAAAAGATTATCATGCTTATAAGATAAAAATACTATTATATTTACTACTTAGTAATCTAGAATATATAGATTAAATTTCTGCTCTGCAGAATTTTTTTAATTCAGTGAAAGCTATAGCATATATCTAATATCTGGATATTAACAGTTCTAGATCAGCTTCAGATAATAAAAATAATATTATTAAATTAGTAATTCACCTTTAGGGGCCGCCGCTTCCGGAAACGGCGTCGCCCGATGCGGTTATGCCGCCCCTCACCGCCAAACCTCTTGCCGCTATATCAGCCCCGGATGTTCACTGGCGTAACCGTCACGTTATGTTTTTCTTCCTCAATCTTACCACCATCGCAACCCTCGGTGAGGCGTCCTCCGCCATCCTCCTCAGCCGTCCTCAGCCGGGTTGCTGCGTGATTTCCGCAGACCGGGGCCTCCGACCGGAGGATTTGCCTCCTTGCTTGAGCCCACCAGCATTTGTCCGTACCTGCGTACCCTTGTTGGTATGCCTACACGAATGCGACGATCTCCCTGGGTTTGACTACTTGTTCAGAATACCTATTGTATACCATATGTCATTATGTGCTCCATTACCACAAGCATTTC